CCAGATATCTTTACTGGGCTGACATGGGACAGACGGCCAAAATCGAAAGGTCTCTCCTGGACGGGTCCAACAGAACAGCCATTGTGAAGACAGGCATCAGTCTGCCCCGTGACATCACCATAGACTACGCCACACATGACGTGTACTGGGTGGACGCTATAGTGGACGCGATACAGGTAGTGGGATGACGTGAACACGGGTCACAGAATTCTATAAATGGTGTAGCGTAGTGACATAAAAGTATAATAAGTGTAGAATTCTGTGGCACGGGTTTATCTGAGGGGTAGGGGGAAGGAGAAGGGGGAGGGGGGTGTAGTGGTTGTAGACTGGAGAAGGGCAGATTCAAAAAATGAAATGGTGATATAGATACATGTACAATGACATACAAGTAAATAGACAAACATAAATAGATCATAGACAGAGACAGAACAGGATAGTAAGAGCCATAAAGAGAAAGAGAATATTTGTGAACTATAACGTCCATCTCATTTTTTCAGATTTGTAACCTGCATCCACATGTTTAGAAAGGTACGATACTGTATATGACAATGCCAAAAATGTACCTCATTTTCCCCACAAAGAACAACTGGTTCGATACGACAAAGTTTTGATTCTTTCTCGTACGTTCACTTCTTCAGAGCGTGTCTTTCAGTGGCGGTAACAGAAGGTACATCCAAACCAACACCCCGAACCCGTATGGTCTGGCAGTGTTCAAGTCCTACGTGTACTGGGTAGACAGGAACCTACAAAGGGTAAGTCAAGTGTGAACCAAAACCAACTCAGGGCTCTTTTTTTTCATTTTCTTTTTTTAAAGCAAAGTTCTGGTATTATTAGTCTGGCGTCAGTTAGATCTTGTTCTCATTGATTGAATTTACTATCAGTTATTATCTCGATATATTTGAAAAAGGAAAAATAAAGACTCTTAAAGATGGGAATTTTGGACTCCGGACTCGTTTTGATATAACAGTATGCCCAACTTTCTCGTACAGATTTTCCGCGCGCTCAAATCATCCCAGGGCACTGCACCACAGGCCCTCAAGTCAAACCTGGCTATGCTGAGTGACATCACAATCTTCGATCAATCGGTGCAGCCAGCAGGTGAGTGTACCCCAAGGTAATTGGATAAAAGATGAAAGCGAAGTACAGCTCCCATTTCGAAGTACTTGACCTGGTTTACAGCAACCGAGGTTACCGTTGGGGTTTCAAGTGGGTTTTCAGCTGAATCTTACAAGAGCATGAAACTGCGCTGTGATCGTAGTGATGCTAACCCCGCCCACCCCCAACCCCCCCAACCCCCCCCCCCCCAAATAACAACAAACCTCGCGACCCCCCCCCCCCGTGCGTTGATCTAGAGGGAAGGGGTACTTTACTTTTACCGGATTAGCTGTTCGATATTCTCGTTGATTTATTCACTAACTGGTTTATTGGCTAATTACATTTTGTCAGAATAATAAATTTTAATATACTATTAGATTTTTTGCTTTATTTTTATACCAATCGGTTGTTTGATTCTGCTATTCATTCATCTTTCTATTGATCGCTTTCACCTATTCTCCTACCGTGCAGAATATCTGACTCCCGAAAAACTCTCCACAGCTTTTTGATCGTACAGCTCTACACCTGCTCCAACCGATCCGCGTTTGTCTTTTCAAAACATAATGTTTGGTTTCTCCTCAGATGAGTCGAATCCTTGCTCCGCAAACAATGGCGGCTGTCAACAGCTGTGTTTCGCTCTTCCAAACGTCACGGAACCTCACTGTGGGTGTTCTACAGGGACTTTGGCACAGGACAGACGGTCCTGTCAGGGTAAATATTTTGACATGCTGAGAGTGGCAAGCTGTTTGGGCGATTCAGAAGATTTATTTAGAATGAAACTACAGCAATTCAGTTTCAATGAAAACAGTTCAAACCATAATTTCTGTTCACGACCAGCGTCTTACGTGCTGAGGAATCCCATAAGATTTTCATTCTTGTATTCAAGCTATACTTTCCCTGGACAACGTAATGAAAGTGAAAACATTGCAAATAAGCTGCTCGAGTCAGAGCAAAAAAAGCTGCACTATATTCCTTACGTTTTGTTTCGTGAGACTGAATCCCAAGTCCGGTCACCTTTGCTACCCCCCCCTCCCTTTCACACTAAGACTTAAATCAATAATGTTCCCATTATTTGGCTTTCATAAACAAAAGATTCTTTGTCAAATTGTGAAGATTTTCCTGTGTTAAGTAGGAAAAAAGTACACGTAGTTTGAAAATATGCACTATGTGCCAGTTGCTAGGAGGGGTAAGGCATCTTTCATTGAAATCAGAGAAGTCACCCCCACCCCACCCCCAGATTAGACCAAGCTGAATGTTCTGATTTGCTATTTCCTTTCCAGTGTATAGTATTATGTCGTAATTTATATATAAAGTAACCGGCATCCACACACACACACATAATCACACACACACACACACAAACACACACACACACACACACATATACACATACACATACACTTAC